TTGTTATTATTTAATTTTAAATTTTTTTTAAATTAATTATTATTTTTTTATTTTTTAAAGTCAATAAATATTTGTTTACTTTAAATTTATTATTTATTTATTTAAATTAATTATTTTATTATAAAAAATTAACTTTTTTTTTTTAATTTTTAAAATATTATAAATAAATATAAATATTATTTTCAAAATTTTAATTTAAAACAAAAAGTTAAAAATAATAATAATTTTAAGATGGGCAGTAAAAAATTTAACCAACTCTCATTTCAGGCCAGTATAATGGAGTATTAGATTAATCATGTCATTGTGCAAACCAAAATTATAAATAATGATAATAAAAAAATTTAATAAAAAGGGCATCTTCACCCACTAAAGGTTAGGCAAGCTAAGGTCCTAGAGTTAACCTTTGTTGACCCATTAGTAAGCCAAGTTCCATAACTCACCGCTTGAGTTGACCCAACTCAGTCTGGATTTAACTTGCCTATTTGCGAACCCTACGTCACATCTAACGGTAACAATGACTAAGGTGCTTGATGAAGCTTATTTTTTGTGTTGTTTATAATAATTTTTTTATTACAAATTTCAAATTTTGTTAGAAGAAAAAGTAGTTTTCTTAGCATTGTCTCAAATCCTTAATATGAAAATAAAATAAAATAATGTCTATCATTCTAAAATAAAGAAAGTAAGTAATTTTCGCTTTCTCAAATTTAAAATATTGTTCTATGAAAAACTTACCTTTTAAGCATTTTAATAGTAAATGTTTGGTTTGAAGAGAGAGAAGAGGAAGAAAGGGGGGGAAAATCTCTTATTTGATTACCCAAAAAAATAAGGGGAAGGAAAGTCATTTATATTATTTTAAAATTTTTTTAATTCAAAAATCCTTTCATTCCCCTTCATTTTTCCCTCCCCTCAAACTAGACATACGTTAAAAATGCTTAAATTATAAAATTTCCTATAACGATATTTAAAATTTGAGAAAGAAAAAATTACTTGCTCTTTCCATTCCAGAATGATAGATGTATTTTTATTTTATCTTTATATTAGAGATTTGGGGCAATTTTTATTTATATTTATTTTACCCTAAAAATAAAAATAAAAATAAAAATAAAAAGACTTTTTTTTTACAATTAGATAAATAATTAAAATTAGGAAATAATTATGGGATTAAAGTAAAAAAAAATATTTATCTATTTTAAAATATAAAAAGGGTTATTATTCTTAGAAATTTCTAAATCAAACAATGTTTATCATTTTAATCAGGACGGATGGAGCATAAGGTAAAAACAAACCTCAAAACTTCACATTAAACTTAGAGAAGAAAATGAGAAATAGTACCCAACGAACCTAAGTAGTTTTAATTATAGTAATTTTTTTTAGTAAAACTAAAAGGTTTTAAGCTTAAATTGTATCTCATGCAAATAAAATGAATCAAGGAATATAAAATAATTACTTTTTATTATGATTAAGATACTAAAAAAATAAAAAAAAAAGAAATAGTACGGACCATATCATGGAAAAAGATCACTTGCATGTGCAAAACGAGTACTTTATGACCGTAAAATGCTTTCTTTACATGATCTTTGACTTATGGGGAAATGTCAGTCAGATATGCTGGTAAACTACTCTATATGATATGCGGGTCCCATACACGTGAGCATTATTGGGCATTAATGGTATAATTGTTTTTGAACGGCTAAGATTATAGGATGAGCCAAATGATGTGCGCACCTGTTTACTGTGGGCTCATTCTTAGGTGGTGTTGCGCGTAATCGATGTGCCCTTGTTGGTCGGTGAGATAGACATTGAGTTTTGATTGATGAGAAGGAGACCAAATGGTACCTAACATGTTCACTAACTGTTGTTTGGATAGAGCAGAATGAAGGTATAAAAAAAGATGAAAGAGTAATTTTTTTATTTAATTATAAAAAAAATTAAAATAAAGAAAGAAAAATAATTTTTATTTTATTTTTTAAAATTTATTAATTTATTCAAATAAAAAAAAAAGATTAAAGGGGGAATAACAAGGGATGAAGGGGTATAATTTCCCTCGCTCCTACTTTTCTCTTCTTTCCCTTTCATTCTTCTCAACAAAAACATATGATAAAAAAACATGCATTTTTATTCTTTATTATAAAATAATTATTTTTATTTTAAATTTATATCATATTAATTATCATTTTTATATTTTTTTAAATAAATAAATATTTTTTACTTTAATTTTATTAATATCTATTAATTAATAGTTGGTGTTTTGGAATAGGCAAAATCATATATTAAGTTCCTGAACTAACTCTAATTCCAGATTCACTATTGAAC